CCCCAAAACCCCAAAACCCCAAAACCCCAAAACCCCAAAACCCCTAATCACGATCCCAAGATTGAAATATTGGTAAATTTATACGAAATTTAATCTACCGGAAAGAATTTTTGTCGATTATTCAATTTTGATTGGATATACACTCATCATGGAGAAGGAAAAACATCTTTGATACCAAAGATGTCCGTTTAAAAGAAGCTTTCAGTATATTCTGAAGGAAGAAGAGGCATTCCTTATGCCTGTTTATGAAAAGTGTTCATATTGTCTTCTTCCCTAGTGTCTGGAGTTAGTTTCTAAGATAAGTTTTTGTGAATGAAATAATCCTTTGTTATTGGCATGTCTTCAAATTTCATCAGAATTACCATCAGAAGTTACGGACAAAAATTTTGAGCATGCCTCAAATTTCTAATTGCATTTTTTTTTGCTTATTTTCCAAACTTACAGCCAAAAGTTGTTGATAGAGAGGATTAGTAATCTTGGAGAACTCTGCTAATATAGCACCTGTGAGCAAAAGTTCTTTCCGACATGAAGCTGAATCCCTTTTTAGTTGCTATTTTTTGAATTTTGTCAAAAATGTATGCAAAATTTTAACTAAAAGTACTTTTTGTAATTGGCCACACTTTCTTACAAAAATCTAAATCTACCAATCAAGATGCTACTCTTTAACGTTGTCATAACTAAATAACTTGAGAGGGAGAAAGAGACTAAGGGTGGCTCAAGAAGAATAATTTTACATCTTTCATTGCTCCCTTTCATGTAAGCCATCTACACTATCATGATTGTTGACATTAGAGTCAACGAATACTTCCGACCCTTATGTTACGTGCACATCAGATGTAATAAACTGCACGAAATGCTATCGTGACAAAATTGGATTACTTTAATCCATTATTGGCAGCTTTTTATGTCCGATATAATTCTGAGCCCAACTTCCAGAGTTGTCCAGTTAGGCTAAAATAACTCCATTCTATGGAACTTCATACTGCTCAGTTTTCTGAAACAGAAAGAAGGGAGGGCCACTAGTTTCACCAATCCAATTCGTGGCTGAGGTTCTCAAGAATAACAAGTTTGATTGCATAATAGTTGAAAATTTGCTCTCAGCTGAAAATTGTGAGCTTAAACGAAGTTTGCCAAATGTTTTCTGAGATACAATAATCTGTGTCTCAGTAAAGCAAGTTATAAGCAGATTAACATGAATTAAACTTTAAACTGCATCCAGGGTTGGGACTCAGATGTCATCTCTCTGGTTAAATAAATCTGAATGAGATCTGATGTTTTGGTAACAGAACTCTCAACGTTGCGCAACCAATCTCAATAGGGTTAGCTTCAAACTAAGGAGACCAAGAGGCTCTGTTCATCTTCGCATTGTAAAAATAACTTATAGAAGCTATTTACCTTCAATATCAGCAATCTGCTACTCAGGAGCAAGAATTTTTATGATAAAAATATTGTCAGATTTTTAGGAATTTAGACTAAAATAGTATATAAACTCTTTTGGGTTTGAGATTATAATAAAAATTTAGAAAGTAAGTTCCTAATCTCCTAAATTATCTGAAGTTCTCGAGCGTTTTTCACTCAAATCAGCCTCTAATAACACCGTGTAGATCGATATAAGCATAATGCCAGCTGCTCAAATAAAAAGAAAGAGAAATGAGAGTAAGTGATCATCAGAAAAATCCTAATCTTCAATAGAATTTGAGGACAAAGAAAACATCTTAGAAATCCGAAAAGAGAAAAACAGAGAAAAAGCTCAGATCTTTAGACAAAGAAAGAAGGAATATATTACCTCACTTGAGAACAAAGTGAAAGAGCTTGAAGCCAAGGTTTATGACCTCACACTTAAGTTAGAGAGTTATCAGTATGAAAAGAGTCTATCATCTTTGCATGAAGGTGAATTGTTTGCTGAGCTCGATTCCATCAACTTTGGGGACTCACCAACTTACTCAAAAAGTGAGGAAGTCCTTGATGTTGAGGCTATGTGAGGGAAACAAGAGAAGTTAATGCTTCTCTTTAACAAAACTCCAGTCAAAGAGCACAGCGATTCCTTCAAATACTTTGGAAAAATGGGAAGTTATATGAAGACTGAGATCCTTCATAGAGATAACCTCAATATCGTGGAAAGATTCTTACTTGATTGTGATATGACACCAGATCAAATTCAGAGAGATTTCCAAAACTATAATATTTCGCAACTAAATAAGGCAATGAAGAGGTAATGATCATCAGAATTCCCTTTCAGTAGCTATTGTCAGTCTAATCCCAAGATCCTTAACCTTCTTTATAGTGTTGCCGAGACAATTATCGATACCAAAAGAAATTATGAATGCTTGAAGAAATTATCAACGAAAGCACTTGATTGAATCTTGAAGAACTTTGATCGCTCACAGATTCACAAGTTTGCTATTCTGTCAGAAGAGGTAAGTAATTTTAGTTTAACCAATTTGTCTTTTTTTATTTTTGACCAATAAATTCCTAATGCTGGCATAGCTAACAGAGAGAGGAGAGTTAACAGCTGCTAAGATATGGCAACTTGAAGGCCAAGAAGATGTGAAGCCATCGCCATATTCCAACTTTTAAAACCAAAAAATAATATTTAATAACAGTCACGAAATTTTCAATTCTGCCAAGTACGATTGGGGTTTTGGGGTTTTGGGGTTTTGGGG